CTCCCCTGCGTTGCGCTCTGCAGCTGCGCTCTCAAGGTGTTAGTAAAATGTCTTTTCTAGCAGAAGCTCACGCGAAGTGAGGAGGTGGCAGAATCTCATCGTCATGAGGGCTTTTAGGAACAAAGATGACCATCCCCTAGCCCTGATAGTTAATGTATGACGATGTTTAACAGCCCCAGGCAGTCATAGTAGCAATAGTCAAAGATTTCACAGCAACCATTTGGAAACAAGTGGGATGGGGAAAACCCTGGCTCCAGGTAGCGATAGGAACATGAATGAAGGTAGTCAGCATTCTGCAATAACAGCTCACCCCACAAAGGCAACTCCCTACAACATCTATAACTTGCACAAGTAACAATAATCAAAGTTTGGATTTGGCCACTAGTCTCCAAAGCAGTAACGATCAGCTTCTCCTTCTCTTCTGTTGTCACTCGCAGTCTCAGGTCTCATCGGTGTCAAAACCCCTCCCCCCTTTATTGTTAAAATCTGAATTTAGCAACCCCAGCAACTTTCTCCTCAATCTCTCTCTTGCCTCCGCTCAAAAGAAAAATTCCACCTTATCACTCTCTCCTTCCCTTTTCTTTACAAAAAGGGATCAGCTGAAACCTCAAATCCCTCTTCTATTTCATCTGGTCTCTCTCTGACAACATCAACAGCAACCACCCCCTTTCTTTCCTCCTTTTTCTTTCCTTCTGCTTGACCGCCGCAACCAAAACCAGCAGCAGCTGTCTGATCAATCTATCTATATAATTATGATGTGACTTAATTGAGTCTCATCCATTGAGGTGCCAAAAACTATGTCTACCAGAGGCGGGTTTCCCTACCAAACATCAACCAATATGGGGAATATCCAATGGCATCATTCCTCATGCTATTATATGCATGCATGAGGGTAGATAAGCCACCTGGTAAAGCTAAGGGAAATCATCAAAACAATTAAAAAATTAAAATTAAAATATTTCGGACATGTGATGCGACACCCAGAAAAATATGGCATACTCCATTTAATCCTCCAGGGAAAGATTGAAGGCAAACAAGGTCCAGGCAGAAGAAGAACATCATGGCTTCAAAATCTAGGGGACAGGTTTGGACAAAACTCAGCAGCACTTTTTCGGCGGCTGCTGATAAAAACAGGATCGCCAACAAGATTGCCAATATCTGATAACAGATATGGCACAAGAAAAAGAAGAACATGACAGTAGAAATATGTTGCATCCAGTGTTGCTTCTGTTCTTCAGTGAGTGTCCCCAACATATCCAAAAGAGTACGATTAAACCTTTCAGGCTGCGAATCTCCTTGTGAATGATACGGGGTGGTATGGGACCTCTGAATGCCCGGTAAGCCCAGTAGGTGCTTAACAAGCCTGCTTTCAAAGTCCTCCCTTGGTCAGAATGTATGTGCTGAGGCAGCTCATAATGTACAAAAAACTTCTTCACTAATGCTTTGGCTACCGTAATAGCACACCAATTTTTTGTCGGGAAAGCCTGAGCATAATGGGTAAAATGATCAGTCACAACCAATACGTTTCCTTGCCCACTTACATCTGGTTCCAGGCAAAGAAAATCAAAGCAAACCAAATCCAAGGACCCATAACTTTGCAAATGGCCCATCAGCACAGTCCTTGAAGGTAGGGTTTTCCTCTGAATGCAATGCAGACAAGATCCACAATAGTCCCTGACTTCTGTCTTCATGCAGGACCAGAAGAATCGATACATTACTAACTTAAAAGTCTTTTCTGGCCCCAAATATCTATGTTCATTGTGTAGCACAATCAACACTGCTTCTCTGTGTTTCTCCAGAAGCAAAAGTTGCCACCTTTCTTCAGGCCCATCCAAAGGGCCCCAGTGGCAGATGTACGCAGTTTTCTCCCTATCCTCCAGATGCATGGGGATCTGATGGTAACCACTCCTTAAATCCAGCACACTAAATCACCTCACCCCTGACAAACACTGCAGGGCATCCTCTATCCAGATGTATACTGTATACTGATCAGGTATAGTCCTCCAGTTAAGAGTATGGTAATCTATACATATCCTCAGGGATCCATTCTTCTTCTGGACCACCACTATAGGGGAAGCATAAGGACTTTGGGATTCCCTAATGACCCCAGTCTTTTTCAGTTCTGCTGGATGCTCCCTAAGATCATCCAGGTTGCTTAAGGGGATCCGCCAAGATCTCTCCCCAAAAGATTTATCTTCCCTCAGTTGGATTACATGCTGGGCACTCCTAGCACATCCCACATCAAAATTATCTCTCGAGAATAAACATCTCTACTTCCAAAGCTAGTATCTTGCTCTCTCCTGCCACTCAGAAGAAAACTGTGTATTCTTGGGATAGAACTGATCCATTGAAACCTCCACCCCAGTCTCTCCCTTACCCAATCGGAGTAGCTGGGCTCACCTGCCCCAACAGCATCTGATCCCTCAGATGAACAGAGAGGCCCGTGATATTTCAAACCCCAACTGAGATCCACCCTTTTGTCTGTCATAAAACTCACATGGAGATTACCTCTGGAATCAATTCTACTCCACTGTTCCATCCCTTAGGGCCAGATTCAAAAATAAGATACGGACCAGGCTGTTCCCAATCTAACTTAATGGAAACCTCAGACACACCTCTTCCTCTGGTTGTATTATCCTCTTTCCTCTAACCAATTTCCATACCCGCCCCACCCCCTCTGCTGCGGCCTGATGCCCCCACACAAACTCTGACATACTGTCTGCAATGCAGGGTGAGCATCCCTTGCTATCATGTCATTCCTCAAGGGAACAACTGGGGGTGAGTAACTGCCTAACCAAATTGGTGTTTGTCTCCACAATCAATGAACCCTGACTAACTCCCGGGGGGCGAGTGCACACAATAGCCAGAGTATCAAAGGTCTCTGTATACCCAGCAATAGAAGGCCCAAACGTCAGCCATACTGGTAAATATCCATCATAGGAAAATTTCTCAGTCCCAATACCACATATCTTCAAATCACTCAGTGCTTGTATGGGTATACGTCAAATATTTGTCATAAAATTTCCTTTATAATAACATGACTTGTGCACCCGAATCCAAAAAAGTCTTAGTGTAAATACTTTCCACCTGCACTGACACCATTGGAGACGGGCCCACCAGCTGCTGAGGAGCCCCCAGTAGTGAGAAACCCAGTGTTTGGTTCAATGATCCACACTTGATTCTCCAAAGACTGCTGCTGGGGCCCCATGGCTCCAGCTTCTGTCAATTCAAGGGGATGGAGATTTCTCACTAAAGGGGATACTCCCATCACTTCCATTTTCGAGGAGGGTTTCCAAGGGAACTTTCTCTTGTCAAGACTGACTGATATCACCAGGCACCCAGCTAGCTCCCTCACTGGGGCCCTTTCCCAACTACACTGGGTTCCGTGATCTTCTGTACGGTTTTGTACATGCATGCTTATAATGCACCACACCCCCACAATTGTAACAAACAACTGATCTCATTGAATTATTAACCAGGGCAGAAAGGCCCATCCCCCCATCAGTTGGTCCAATCCTGCCTCCATTCAGGGGTGGGCCACCCATTACTGTTCAGGAAGCCATTATCTTAGTTAAATCCAGTATCTGGGCTTGCTTCATTGTTAACCGATCATCATCCTCCCTTGCTTTTCTCATTCCTGGGCCTAAGGGCTATCCTATCGGCAACTCAGCTATCACCTCCTTAGCTTCCTCCACTACCTCAGTTGCCCGCACTCTCCTTATAAACTCGTGATACCCCCAAACATTCCCTCTAGCTTCGACCTTTATTTGGCTCAAGGCAGGGTCCAAAGTACACCGGAAATGTTGTTCTATCCCACCTCAGTTGGATCTAATCCCCCCCTCTCCAAAACCTGATATAATAATCTATTCAGGCACCTTATATATTCAGACAGCTTCTCACCCCTCTTCTGATACATGTGTTCCAAACGAAACAGTAAGCTAGAGATCATCTCAGCACACACAGGAATATAAATGAAAGACACAGAAGTAAAAATCATACCGTGAGGAAATATGCAAACTTTGTTAAAAGAGCCAGATAGATCTAATAGTTAAGACACTAATCTAGAAACTAGGGAACCATGACTTTTAATCCCACTTTAGTCATGAAAGCCAATTGGGTGGCTTCAGACCAGTCACTCTCTCTCAGGCCACATCACAGGTTTATTGTTATGAAGAAAATAGGGTGAGGAAAAATTATTAAGTATGTTTACTACTTGAATTATTTATAAAAATAATAAAGGCAGAGTAAAAATAAATTCAATAAATAAGTAACTTTTTAAAGTATGCATATTTGAAGAATTTACTCACATTGGTCAAATAATCCTTTATACACAGCTATATCTTTTATGTACGAAGGAAAAAAGTGGCCTACATTACTATATCCTTGTGAGTCTTCTATGATATTAGTAAATATTTCTGGGCTCAAAAGTGCACTCTCAAGGGTTTGTGGTTGAAATTGACAAAAGGTGGCATATATGAGTAGCATACTGTATATTTAATTTTAAATTTAGTGTATTACATTTATAGTACAAGTTTAAACAATGAGTTGTATGGATATATATATCAAAGGAACTATTGACAGTGAAGTAGCAGCATAAAACAAGTACCATTGGTAGGTAATAGCTGTAAATCTTTATTTTAGGAGTAATGAACATGGACTGCAGAACAAAGTGAGGAATTTAGGCACCAGTATTTTAAGAAACTGCCAATAATTTTCCTAGTTTTAATTTGTCTTTTTTCCTAAAACAGCTTATATCTTGGTCTTTATGCTTAGCTAGGACTACACACACACACACACACACACACACACACACACACACACAAATACATACATATATACATACATACATATACTCCAAAAGGGCGAAGGAATTAAAATATTTTCTGAGGCTACAATTCTTGGGAGAATTGTAATAATTATCATGGTTAGTCCCAAGGAGGAGAGATGAGAAAATAAAGAGCATTATTATAGAAACAGGAAAAAAATCCACTCCGTAAAAGGACAGAAAAAAAGAAAAGAAAATCAGCCTGGCTAAATCTGAGGTAACTATCCTTATTTTTTTTCTATACAATTTTGCAAGTGGCATTCAGCTGAACAGATAATATAATGAATAAGGAATTTTTATATACAGAAAATAAACTGGTGCTATAATATTCTTAAGGAGGTCTAGAGGAAGTTGTAGTACTAAATGCAATCAAATATAATTCCTTTTGCATTCACATGTATGTAATGAGATGAATGAAAGCACTGAATTGTGAATTTTACCGACAATCCCTTCATGGGTATTTCATGGAAGCTAAAAATTGGTGAATATATTTGCACTTTTTGTCCATGTGGCTTGGGAAAGCATTATATTTTTAAATAACTTTATCTAGTATTCAAGAATAAACTTTAATTCCAAGGCCGGTCTCTCCTATGAGAATAAATATCTGTCTCTCATATACATAAACGGATAGAAATGTTACAATTAATTTAAATATTACTACTTTAATACAGTTTATGCCCTTGAATCTGGTACATTTCATTATGCATATTTGAAGACTGCAGCGTAGGTTTGCTAGGAATTAATTTTGAATATGTAGGGAGAAAAATATGGTATACTTTTCTTTTAAAAAAATAAAATATTGATGTTGCATTACATCTTTTGTCTTCCATTCTTGTAAATCCCAGACTCTACACAGCATGGAAGAAGCCAACCAGACAAATGTCAGCTATTTCATCCTGCTGGGATTCACTACCACTGCAGAGCTTCAGATTCTCCTCTTTGTCCTCTTCCTCATTGCATACTTGATGATTCTCATGGAGAATTTGATAATCATTGTAGTCATTTGGGTCAATAATAATCTTCATAAGCCCATGTACCTCTTCTTGTGTAACCTCTCCTTTCCTGAAGTCTGGTACATCACAGTCATTGTTCCTAAAATGTTGGGAGATTTTCTATCACAAGACAAACACATCTCCTTCCAAGGTTGTCTAACCCAGCTATATTTTTTTGTCACTTTTGTGTGCACTGAATATATTCTTCTAGCTGTGATGGCATATGATCGGTACTTAGCTATATGCTATCCACTTCGTTACCCAGTCCTCATGAACAATAATTTCTGTGCTCAGCTTTCAACAGGATGCTGGATATGTGGTTTACTCACCTCCATGATCAAACTTAGCTTTATTGGCCGGCTGAAGTATTGTAACACTTACAAGATCAATCACTATTTCTGTGATATTTCACCTCTCTTGAATGTTTCTTGCACTGATTCTTCCATAGCTGAACTGGTAGATTTCATCCTGGCTCTAATGGTTATCATGGTTCCCCTCTGTATGGTTGTTACATCATACATCTATATCATTTTGACAGTCCTGAAGATTCCTTCAGCTCAGGGAAGAAAGAAGGCTTTCTCCACATGCAGTTCTCACCTCACAGTGGTTGTACTCTTTTATTCCACCACACTCTTCACCTATGCACGGCCCAAAGCTATGTATGCCTACAACTCTAACAAAGTTGTGTCAGTGCTCTACACTGTGATAGTTCCTCTTTTGAACCCTCTAATATATTGTTTCAGAAATAAAGAGATAAATTGTGCCTTGAGGAAGACATTTTTTCACTAATACTTAGGTAAAGTAGTTAGTGTCACAGAATAATTCTAAAATTATAAACAAAATTTCAGTATATATACCACTGTGGTTGCTGTATCTTAATTTACAATGCATTTTCATTTTATCTGGTAGTTTGCATAAAAATTATTTCAGGTGTCAGTTTTGTCTGGGGATATTCACTGATATCCCATTTTTTTAAGAAATCAGAATAAATATGCATGCAATGGATATTGATACTTTTAAAATTGCAAAATAGATTCAGTATATTATTCTTTATTTTGGTCATGTATCAATGTGAAATATATGGAATTATACAAACAAGAATAATAATTGAAATAAAATAAGATATTGATAATGTAGTTATAGAGATTACTAACATAGAACTGTAGAATTTTTTCACACTAAGATCTATCTATAAGAATTTACATTCTATTCTATGATATTCTGTTATGTTCTATTCTATTGAAAGAAAATAGAACTGTTGTCTTAACTTTTAAAATATATATTTTCATTCTTTGATAGTTTGTTTCTTGCTTTTCAGTGAAAACCATAAATTGTACACATCTGAAACAAATAACCTAATCAGTGGTGAGATTCAAATATGTGAACAACCAGTTCTCTGTTTGGATGCTGCTTCCAGAAGTCCATTCTGGGCCTGGGCAACAAAAAATTAGCTACTGGTTCTGGCGAACTGGTGCAAACTGGCTAAATCCCACCACTGAACCTAATATTTTTAATTACACAATTCCGTCAGACAGTCATGCTTCATATTATGACACAGCTTTCCCCTGTACTGCATGTCATTCTCTGTTGATGATTAAAATTTTGAGACTGGAGAAAATAAAATTCATCAGTGGTCTGCCTTACGTTTCTTCATGCTGCATCCCATGTTGGTCTAGATTTGTATATGTGTACATAGATCAGTCTACTGAAGTATAAAGGCTGTTTGCTGAAGACTATAAATTGTGATCTACCACACTGCTTCATTGCTCATTGATAGGTAGTTATTTTTCAACTATTCAGTTTAGGGCTGAACTAGAGCACCAGTTGGCATCCCTGCTTAAGGGAGGACTGGAACTTGATTTTCCTTTTCCTAATCCAGTGTTTTAACCTCTTCATCACCCTTGTGTATATATATTCTCTGCATTGGTTTTCTTCAAAAGAAGTCTATGGTCTAATAAATAAGGGAGGAATACACAAAATATCAAACTAACTATTAGGGTTTATATTTTAACTTGTTTGTTTTACTAGCTTAGATGGAAACATTCATTATACATTTTTATGGTTCTCCTCAGTATGATCTGGAAATGATCAGATTGCCCTCCTGGTCTCTGTGTTCTTTAAAACAATTGCATTCCCAAATATTTACCACTTCATTTGGTCTGTTGCTTATTTAATTCAAAATTCATTTTTGGGGAGTAGATGTTTAGTGATTGTATTTGATGATTAGAAGCAATAAAGGTTGCTTTGTGTTCATAGATAGATAGATAGATAGATAGATAGATAGATAGATAGATAGATAGATAGATAGATAGATAGATAGATAGAAATAGAGATACCTTCTATCTCTATTCTCCATCTCCATCTCTCTGTGTGACTGTTTTGTGTATGTTATAATATATGTCACTCACTTCACCAAAATCCAGATTTCTCATAATAATAAAACTTCATTAAAAGTAAATTTAAAATAGTAAGAACCTCATTAACAATAAAATAATTAAAACAAACAAAATGATTTTTGCTGCTGAAATATTATTGAGAAGTATCTAACATTAAAGTTGTATATCCTTATGAAAAGGACATGAAAAGGATTACATAGAGTAATTCCAAAAGATCCTGGGTGCAAGGAAGATAAATTTTCTGAAGCTCCACTTTTTTTTATTCAGAAGAATAAAGAAATTTGTTAGACTGACTACCAATAGATTTATCCCTCATATTCAAACTGCTGCCAATGACTCACAAAGCTTTGTATGACATAAAAGCTGGTTGCATCAGATAGTATCTTGTCAGTAATGAATCTATCTGTCTAGAGAAAAAACAATCTTGGGTAGGTATGTCAGAGTCCTCCTAACATCATGGGTTAGAGAGAAAGTGATTAAAATTGCAGGTATTTGCTAAGGCAGTCCATATACTTTGGAATTCCTTACTCCTAAATCGTTATAAAGGTTCTCCCGCAGTGGCATTTAAAGGATAATTAAAGATAGTTTTATTTCACTGACCCTTAACCTTTTGTTGTTGATGATGATATTTAAATTAAGGTATAGTAACTCTTTCATTTCCAGAGAGCTATAAAACTTCAGATGAATAAATTCAGTGAGCATATAACTAGTATACATGTTCAATATATGCATAACATATTTAGTGCATTGAATCAGGGCAACAGAGAAATTTTCTCAGAACTACTTTCTAAGACCAGCCTAGTGTTGTTTGCTGAGATGGCCAGTTATAGAAATCAATCAATCAATCAATCTCAATCCATCAAACAAACAACAAATGGAGTAGAAGCTAAGTCTTCTGGTTTAAAATCAAAATATTGCATCTTAAAAAACTGTAATAAATGAAGAAACATAAGTTTCTGAGACTATAACTAGTCTTGAAAAACAAACAATGATATATATACATTATTTGCTTCTCCATTAGATGCCATAGCTCTGGGGATATAATTAAAATGAGCAATTACTATTTTTAAAGAGAGAGAATTATTGTGGAAACAGATAACAATGCTTATTTAGTGGTTGTTGATGGAGATATATGGACTGTATTGCTTTGAGAAACTTTCATCCATTTCAGCAGAATTTTTATACAATTACAAATAGAACCTGTGCAGTGCTTTGAGGTAGTCTCCATATAATAAGGTGAAAGATCATTCCTTTCAATGTATCATACGAGAGGAAAAAACATTTTATTGCAGATGTTATTTGTGGAACTTTTTTAAAATTCTATTAGTCAATATACTTTGATGTACAAAGTTGTCTTCTATTGTTTTGAACTTTTTGATCCTTATGTTAAAAAACAGAACATTAAAAATAAATTATTGGGACATGCTTCTGCTACTATCACATACATAAGGAAAATCAATATCTTCTGTTCATGGTGGGGAATAATGATGTGGATAACTCTCTGGAAAAATGGTCTCTATACATTTGTGTCTGTGTAAGAATAAAAACCACTCTGAGCTAATATGAATAAAACAAATGTACTTTGACTTGAGTGAAAGACTTCCTTCCTTCCTTCCTTCCTTCTCTCCCACCCTTTCTTCCCCTCTCTTTCCCCATCAGATAATGGTGGAAAAGCAGTTTTCCTAACTTTTCCTCAAATAAATCTGCATTTCTAGCTGATTCCTTTTCTGTGAAATCTTTCAAAATCCTGAGTTTTATTGCACTCATTTTAATCTAAGAATGGGATATTTCATTGGATACGTGGAAGAATGACAGACTTTCTAAGATGACCTTGATAGCATTCCTCTCTTATCAAATGTTTGAATGCGTTGAATGGAGCATCACAGAGGAGTATGAATCAACATTCTCTGAGTGTGTTTATTTTTGCACAATATTTATTTATTCAGAATAATTATGAATAATATTTATATGTTTTTTGCTAATGATGCTTTTTGATATCTCATTGATCATAATATATTTTAGCATAAGTTTAAGTATGAGGCAAGGGGAAAGCTCTTAAAAATGGCATCAGATTTTGGTAATAGAATGCAGAACACAAAAGGAAAAAGTTAATAATTTCTAGCCATACATTTTTATAACATGGTTCTACTTTGGGAATGATGAAATTTAAGGTAGTTTTCATAAGAAAACTTCTCCATTTTACAGTTGTTTTCTATATTTGTGTGTGTGAATGCAGATTGCTTGTGTTTGGAATTTATTATATCTGGATATAAGAAATAATAATAATAATAGGAGTAGGAATTTTTCAAGTTGAAAATTGAAATATCAAATCTATCACATAAATTGATCTATTATTTTTTTAAAATATTTGGGAAATGAATCTTGGTTCAGTGTGGTTGTATCTAAAATATTTAAATGTAATAATTGCCACCCAATACATGATGCATTATGCAAATATGTAAGAGAAGGATCTATATTTTTTGCCTTCAGGATTAAAGTTATTTATGAATTTGTATTTTAAAAGTTTATTTTTTGGTATATGAAGAAATCTATAATGTTAATCTCAGCAATAAATACGATCAAAGCTGATTTACTTTTTCAGGGTTGAATGATTTCAAGCAAGATAGCAACTGTTTTATTGCATTCATCCATTATTCAGGTACAAATAAAAATGGATTGCAGTGAGAAGTGGCAGAACATTTATGAACCTTGAACTGATAACTTATTGTCTTTTGAGTCAGATTATATAAAAGGCCACTGTTGCATTATTATTTATTAAGTTTTTATCTCACAATTCTTTTAGAAAACAAAATGGGAAACCACTCCAGAATTGCACAATTCATTTTGGAAGGATTCTCAGGCCCCCTAGAGCTACAGCTGGGTTTGTCTTTTCTTTTCATGCTGCTGTACATCGTAACATTGATGGGAAATATTGGAATGATCATTATTATTACTCTTGATCCTCATCTCCGAAGTCCTATGTACTTCTTCCTGAAGAATTTATCCTTCTTGGATACCTGCTATTCTTCTGTTATAACTCCCAGAGCCATGGTGAACTTTGCAACAGGGAAGAAAGGCATTTTCTATAATGCATGTGCCATACAAATGTTCTTTTTCTCTCTTTTTGGAACAACTGAATGTTTCTTACTAGCTGTAATGGCATATGACAGATTTACTGCCATCTGCAATCCCCTGCTTTATAATATTACCATGTCCAGGAAAACCTGTATACTTCTAATAATGGCTTGCTATTTCTTTGGTTTCCTCAACTGTTGCATACAGACAAGCCTTACTTTCAGCTTATCCTATTGTGAACCATGGGAAATTAACCAGTTTTTCTGTGACGTCCCAGCTGTCATGAAAGCAGCTTGCTCAGATACTTTTATAAATGAGATTGTGCTCTTAGCACTGTGTGGGTTTATCATAGTGATAACATCCACTATAGTTTTGGTTTCCTATGTCTATATTGTGGCCACAATTCTCCACATGCCTTCTGTAGAGGGAAGACACAAAGCTTTTTCAACCTGTACTTCCCATATCATGGCTGTTAGCTTGTTCTTTGGAACAGCTTTCTTCATGTATGGTCAACCTGGAGCTATAGCTTCTCCGAATCAAGGCAAAGTTATTTCTGTTTTTTACACTGTTGTAATTCCTATGTTGAATCCATTAATTTACAGTCTAAGGAACAAAGAGGTCAAAGATGCATTAAGAAGACAGCTAAAAAGGGTGACTTTCTTCAGATGAGCACCAACTCTTACAAAACATAAAGTTATGAATACTTTTAGCTTAAAGCATCCATAAAATTGACCTTACAATTGAAATCAGAAGCTTTTCTTATAGATCTGAAGGATAAACATATTTTTTTTTAAAAAGAAAGAAAAACAAAGCATGGAATTTTGTTCTTATCTAGGACAGCAGCAGCAAAGCTCCTCTATATGCAGAATTGGATGGACTTACATGTATTCATAATGGAAGACTGGAGGGTGAAATTAATGCAGTTGGTGGAGAATTATATTGTTTCTATTTGGAAATCACTCCTCAACTTTGAGTTTAATTTTTTTAAAAAATGAAATTTTAATCTTGAATTTCAATTATTAGACTTGTTTGTGATAATAAAAGATTGTTGGTTATTCTAGTTCAAAGGGTTATTGATTTTTAGGCTTTTATATGTATCAAATAAAGTGATTTCTATATTTTTTTCTCCTTTTTGTTTGTCCTCCCCAGTTTTGGATACCCCACTATTTTATGATGTACATCAATTTTATGCAGATCTATGCATACATTTGGAAGTGATAGCATATACAGTTATAATACAACTAAGAAAATTTACTTTTTGCAATAAAGTTTTACTGTGCTAGGGAAAATTTTGATGGGGAAAGTAAAAATAGCTACCACTGCAAAATTTATTGTCATTAAAAATACAGAATTCTTACTCACATTATGTAAGAATTTCAATGTATTAATATCTATTGATAACAAAACATACTCACATGGAATATTAGTAGAAATTATACCTTGAGACCTATTTTTGTTCCTTTATTTTTCCTAAATGTGTGGAGAAGCACATCTCTTTAGTCAGTTATACCTAGATACTAGATACATTTGTCAGATTCACAAAATAAGGGATTGGGTATCATTACCCACTTCCATATGTACATATGTCTATATCAAAGTTAAGGCTGTTGCTGACATTTTAAGCAAATGCAACTTTTACAGAAGAACAGGCATCTATAATGAATCATAACTTTTTACTTTGCATGGTTAAGGGCGAGTAGCAGAGAAATTCTTCTACAAATGGTCGTTCAACTTGACACTTAAAATGTAATTTTTAAGTCATCTGCATCATGCAAACTAACATATGTATGTATGTATGTATGTATATGTGTATGTATATGAGACATCCATTAGGGGGTTTGTGTGTGTGTGGAGTGGGCAATATTATAACTATAGTTCAATATTTAACATTTTATCCAATAAAACAAAAAAAAGTTAAAATATAAATCCCAAGGTTAATAAATTGGATATTCTTCCCAAATTTATTAAGTCATTAATTTCATTTGATAAGCAACAATGAGAGAATCTCCCTATGTATTAATCTAATCTAATCTAATCCAATCCAAACCAATCCAATCCAATCCAATCTAATTTAATTATGCACACACACACACGCACACACACACACACACAGAGTTATCCTAGGATTAAGCATCCTCTTTAGAACTGAAGTTGTTCCAAAGCTCCAATATCAACAGCCGTAGACGCTGAATGATTCAAGTACATAGTTTTCTGTTTTTTTTTGTTTCTGTACATTTTTATGTAATTTTTATCTATTTTTGTGTTATACTGTGGTATAATGTGTTGAAGGAAAAGTCTTAATGTTTCAGTCCAAGCTGGGAATAAACAACATGGCGACTGCTTTAGAAAGAAAGTTTATTGGAGAGGAGAGCCAGACAGAAAGATGGTTCTGAAAGAAAAGAGAGAGAGCACATGCAGGGAGTGGATTTTATACTCTCTGGGGCTTTTGTTTGTTTCCTGTTCCTGTTTGAGGCTTTGTATTTCCTGTGTCATGTATTCTGACCTGAGTCTGGGTGTTCCCTTTGGAATCTATGGGTTAATCCTATTATGTCCTTAGAATTTGGGTAGGGTATGTAGATTTTAGGTGTCTTTGTCTTCCTAAGCTTCTAGCTGGGGGCCTCCAACCTTCCTGGATTATTTACATCTGCATTTCTACATAGCTGGTTCCTGCTTGGGGGAGGAAGACTTGGGACTATTAAAAAAACTGGGCATGCTTTTCTGCCTCTTTAAGATCCTTTGAGGAAATACATTTTTCTGCCCTTTTAATATTTCCTTCTCTGGGGGCCTGAGTTCCCACAACTGTATATGATCTACTTTACAAAACTGCATATCTAGCAATAATGAAACATAATAAATTAAGATTAAAAACGTAAAGCCCTCATTAAAAATAAACCAATAAAAATAGAACAAAGTTGTCTGTTGCTGAAACATCATTGAGTATTATCTATAGTTCTGGTGTTTCCCCTTAAAGCTATGTATCCTTAGGAACCATCTGTGGAAGGATTACATAATTCTACAAGACCTCGGATGCAGGAAAGTTAAATCTTCTGAGGCCTTGACCTTCTTTGTTTCTTTTCAGTAGTGATCCATCAGTGGAACTAGATTATCTGGATTAGATCACTTTAAGAGCATGTAAAGGATCTCTCCTGAATCAGGATGATTAAAGTGGCATCTCAATATTACATGGCCATCTTTACCTATGTGTAATGCCATGATGCATGTAGAAGGGTGTGTGGGGATTGTCACAATGCCCCCCCTCCACAGGGCTTTTAAACCAGTGGTTCGGGTACCACTTGTGGTACATTGGCACCTGGCAGGTGGTACGCAACCATTCTAGAAAAGTGGTAGTGGGGGAAGGGAATGAGCTGAACCGGTGGCAGCACCGCACAAGCCTGAGCAAGAGATGGCTGGAGTTGCAGGGCTGTCAGAGCTCAGCGGAAGTGCCAGGATCAGTGCCTCTTTCCAGCTGATCGGCACTTCTTTGGGGCTGTCAGGGCTCAGTGGAAGTGCCAGGATCAATGCCAGGCTCCAGCTGGGGCTCGGTGCTGATTCTGGTGCTTCTGCTGAGCCCTGAAGAAGCACCAATCAGCTGGAAAGCAGCATTGATCCTGGCACTTCTGCTAAGCCCAGAAGAAGCACCAATCAGCTGGAATGTTGCAGCATCTCCAGGGTCTTGTGATTAACATTCAGATGCTTGGCAACTGATTCATATTTATGACGGTCACAGTGTCCCAGGGTCATGTGAAGTGACCAAAACCTGCTGCAACCACCTAGCAGATGGGAAAAATAAAAACCACACACACTCCACCCCACCCCTGCTGCCAATCCTCAACAGAAATGCTCACAACAATGAAAACCTCAGACAGGAGGGCTGCCAGGTGGGCAGGCAGGTGTCTTGCTCGGCTGTGGCTTGGGGGGCACTTTTTTCAGTGCCATTGTAACTTCAAACAGTCACTAAGTGAACTGTCGTAAGTAGAGGACTACCTGTACTTTATCACTTTTTTCCTTTTTTTGGGGTCATCAAGTTTTTGACACCTTGCTAGGTGACTGGTGGTACTCAGATGTTGCCATATCCTAAAACTGGTACAATAGGTGAAAAGGTTGAAAAGTCCTGCCCTAGCACACTTAGCTATAAATTTCATGCTTGTTTTCACTTTAGTAGAGCAATTGCCAAATAACAGCTCCACAATGTTTATTCCATTTTGAAATACATGTTTAGAAAGTGTGTGTACATTCTATGAAGATTAGAATAGAGATCAAACTAAAGCAATTAAAACCACTTGGGTGCGATGTGGCCAACCCATTCTGTCTCTTACAATTGCTTTTCCAATCTCACCTTTTGTACCAATGGCTAAACAAATTTTGCAACTGATGATGGAAACCAAATGGTGCAATAAACTAAGCAAAAGAAAAAGTTTGTCTATCTGAGGCATTAAAATAGGAGTAAGAAGAGCTGTTTAAACAATGAGAGCAAGAAATTATCTGATAAGGAAATAAGAGAATATCAGATTCCCAATTTCTTATCCCAGAGTCATGATGTGAGAGGAGAAAAAGAGAGGGAAGGAATTTTTTTAATCCCATAGAAACTGTTGCAACAGTTTCTATGGGATTTTTAAAAAATACTGCTGTTTAAGATGTAATTTGTTTTTTCAGAAACATACATTCAATATATAATAAACTGTGTATCCTTTTGATTTGGGCCATTGTTGAAATAGATAAATTGCTGAATAAATTTCATTGTTTGCTAGATTTGAAAAAATGATTATTGTAAAATATTAAATATTAGTTTGATATCAGAATATTTTCCAGTGGAGTTTAGTGGATAATTATTTTTCTATGTAAATGCTAGTTTGAAGATCAGAAACCTCCCTTCTGATGGGAAGAACTATAAAAAAAATCCATAGTAGAAGCTTTACAAGAATATGCTCTTTTTCAAAATACATAAATTAATAATTTCCATTTGGACCAATGTACCTTAAAAATAGATTATACTCATGAGATTATACTTATGTCTAACATTGGGCCTCAGGTGTAATGTGATTGTTCATAAAAATATTAAATTTGAACACAGAAAAGAAAAAAAAAAGATTGGCAGAATGTATTCGTTTCATAGACAGGTAAAGAAATAATGTTAAACACAAAAACAACATTGCAAGTTTGTTTCTTTTCCAGTTCTAATGAATAGGAAAATGAGAGGTGAGTAGAAATGCTGAAGCTGAAATTTGCTCTTAAGGAAGTGATAGGAGTTTCTAGATGAATTCATTTAGTTCAGTAATTCAGTATCCAAAACTTATGCAAAAAATATTTTTGTGGCATTTCAAAAGCTTCTCACTTGAGATGAAGGACTTTGACATTGGAATTAATGTCTTTATTGAGTTTATATCCATGTACTTTCAGTACATTGTAACTCAAATGTTTTACAATAAAAAATGTACAAAACAGGAAAGACCGTTTCAATAAATTAAAAGATGAAATCAATAAGCTTAGCAGAAATTCAGTACAGACTAAAATAATCAACAGTTACAGAAAATAAGCAGCAGCAGCAACAAGAACAAATCCAGCAAAGATACAGTGATGTTGGTTTTCTCTACAATAAAAGAAGATTGGCAGCTGACTCCTGCTTCACTAAATTAGCAGCAAAAGAGAATGTTAGATGGCAATTGTGTATATTTTTCTTTCTGCTAGCTTCCCAGTTGTGATGACTATGATCTTCCTAAGGACCTGAGATGTTGTTGTTTGATGATATTAAAGATATCTTTTCAGGAGGTAAGCTGTTCCAAACAAAAGGCATGTTTAACTGAGTGGTTTACATTCTGTGTAAACTTTAATACTTTACTTTAAGTTTTGTATTATTTCCTTTTAAATAGTATATCTCCCTTCTAACTCACTGGTGTAGCCATTTGTTCTTTTGTGATTTACATCTTAGTAATATAGTCTGCTCACTTGGTTATACCCTTTTCTCAATTTTTATTTAGAATTTCTAATATTATCACAGCTATATTTTTGTCTTCTAATATTTTTTTTTTTTTTAAAAAAAAAATCCCTACCCCACAGGTATATTTTGTTAGAATTTGACAAGGAAATCCTTGTATTTATCTGTATAGCACTTTTAATTTCAAGTAATTTGTATCCATTCTTGTTCTATATCTTTACCAAGATTTCTGTGCTATTCAGTTCCAGAAGACTTTGAATGGCTTGGATGCCACCAAAACGTTAATAGGATATGATCCTGATTGATGGATCTCTTCTACATTATTAGTTCTTAGATTCTTATGCATTATGGTCTATAATGACAATGATATTAGTATTAATTAATATGTATCTTTTTCAGGTTTCTGCTTGCAGAATTTCACAAACAGCTTTTATTTCACATGCATGCTGATAATGACCTCTTCAGACTTACTCAAACACTATTTTCTAACTTTCACAAAAATATTTGTAGGTGTCTGTTTTTCCTGACATCTCCTTAGCCATAAATGTGATGGAAAATCATACTGAAGTGACAGAATTTATATTAATTGGCTTTAAGGATCAACCAAAAGTGCGCATATCTCTCTTCTTTCTCTTTTTGGTAATATACATCATCACCTTAGGGGGGAATATGGGCATGATCATAATTACAACTGTTGATGTCCAACTTCATAGCCCTATGTATTTCTTCCTGAAAAACCTGTCCTTTTTGGATATTTGCTACTCTTCAGTCATCACTCCAAAAGCTATGTTGGATTTTATAACTGGAAATAAGATCATTTCCTACAGTGGCTGTGCAGCTCAGATGTTCTTCTTTTCTCTGTTTGGAACCACAGAGGCTTTTTTCTTGGCTATAATGGCATATGACCGATTCATTGCCATCTGTAGTCCGTTGCTGTATCATATCATCATGTCACAGAAAAGATGTGTTTGTCTTCTATCCATCTCTTACTTTTTTGGCTTTATCAACTGCTGCATCCAGACTGGTTTTACATTCAGTCTGTCATTTTGTGACTCACTTATAATTGATCACTTCTTTTGTGATGTCCCAGCAATCATGAAGATCTCCTGCTCGGTCACTTTTGTGAATGAACTTGTGCTCCTTTCAGTGTGTGGCTTTATCATTGTGACCACAGCTGTAGTAGTCATAGTATCCTATGTTTATATTATTAGTACTATAATAAATATACCTTCTGTCAAAGGAAAACAAAAAGCTTTTTCAACTTGTACCTCCCATTTGATGGCAGTTAGTTTATTTTTTGGAACAGTTTTTTTTATGTATGCACAACCTGGGGCTTTGTCTTCTCCCAATCAAGGAAAAGTTGTATCACTGTTTTATACAGTTGTCATCCCAATGTTGAACCCCATAATCTATAGCTTAAGAAACAGAGAGGTTAAAGAAGCTCTGAACCGACAATTAAGAAAAATTGATACCTAGCTTCTAATAAATCTTCGTTAATTACTGATATTTGAATTGCTGTTGAAGTTTACATCTATATGTATGACATTATTTCATTTCATTTATTTATCAGATGCTGATTTTTCTGAAATAATTATTACACAGGAACACACATACACCTCAAACATGTATTCCAATAAAACTTAATTCTGCGTTTCATTCAAAAGAAGTAAGTTTGATAGACCTCCAAGATTATTTTCAGTTGGTGTGGATTGTGAGTGAGAAGTTGGACCTGCAACCCTAGCTTTGCATACTTCTTTAGGGTTCAGTGCTTTCTCCACTCCTGTTTAATATGAAGCTGCTGTGATCATTTATCACCAATGAATGAAGCATTGTCAGTGTGCTGATAATACTCAGTTCTGCTTTTCTAATCATGGTGAATTAAGTGATGCTGTGTCTGCCCTTTCTTGGTGCTTGGAGGCTGCTGAAGTCTGAATGGGGAAAATATGAAGAAACTGAACCTGGCAAATTGGAGTAGCTCTGGCTTAGGAACTCTTTGGTTTGAGTTGTGCACTCATTCCAGGTTGCTGCAGAGCTGATCAAGTGGTTAGCTTGAATGCACATTTTGCCATCATGGAAGTGGGGGATTTATGGGCTTTTGTACTAAGGATTTTTAATTTTCTAAACTTTTCCAAGTCATTGTGTGTGAATTGGGCAGCCATATAAATTTGTTTAATAAATAAATAAAAATAAAACAAATGTCTACTGAATACTTATGGAAAGATATACAAAGCACTGGAGCAGGTATAAAAGAAACATATTCTGGGAGGCACGACCCCCCCCCCAAAAAAAAACAGACATTTGCCTGGAAAGAACGATTAAAAGGGGAAAAATGAAAAGGAATGGACTAAAGAAACAATAAAATAAAATAAAATAAAAAGGACTACTGTAAATAAAAATGAAGTAAAAGTGAGAGAGCACAAAGCTTTTTTTCCTGTAAACTCTTCCTAGCTAGGATTTCATTTTCTGACAAGGAAAATGGAATGCTTTGTGAGGACCACAGCAACCAGAATTTTGTCACAGACAGAGAAACTAAAATAACAATAACAATAGCAGACTTATATACTGCTTCACAGTGCAGCCCTCTCTAAATGGTTTACAGAGTCAGCATATTGCCCCCAACAATCTCGATCGTCATTTTACCAATCTCAGAATGATGGAAGGCTGAGACAATCTTGAGCAGGGAGACTTGAACTGCTGACTGCCAGCAGAATTAGCTTGCAATATTACATTCTAACCACTGTTCCACCATGGCTCTAAAAGCTTCACCATTAAGAAAATCACCCACTGAATCAATAGCTTTGCAGCAGCGGAATTAATAATAATTACATTAAGGCATGGAGTTTACAACTTTGGGGATTTTAAAATATTTTTTTAAAATATAATCTAAAAGAATCAGAAAATAACCATGCTGCTGTGACTGTTCTTTATATTGCTGTAAAGCTGAGTAAAATCCAGCATATTTTCAACTGAAAGTTCTGAAACTTAGCTAAGTATGGATTGATTGATTGTTTGATTGATTGATTGATTTGTCTTATCAAGTCAGTGCTGACTTTTTTCAATCCTAATAGACCTTCTTCAGGATTATCTACCTCCAACTTTTAACTTTGGATCTAATAATGACATATCCATTGTCCCTGTAATAGGGACCACTCACCTTTGTGCTAAATGTTCTCTTCTCTTTCTACTCCCAGCATTATAGACTTTTCAAGAGAACTAAATTTTCATAAAATTGGTTTAAGATATGATAATTTGATTTGTAGCTTTTATTTTCAAGGGATTATAGTTTTTCTGAGAGTAAAACATTTACATTTATTCTCAAAGGGGTTTGATATAGATTAGGTTAAGAGGGAAATATTGGTGTTTTAGGCTGTTTTGGGTGGTAGAACATAGAACAATAAAGTTGGAAGGGACCTTGGAAGTCTTCTAGTCCAACCCCATGCTTGAGCAGGAGACCCTATACCATTTCAGATAACTGGTTGTCCAGTCTCTTTTGAAATCCTCCTGTGATGGAGCAAGATTGACTGACTAACTGACTCACTGCTTTCAAATCAGTGCTGACTTTCTATAGCCACATAAACTTTCTCTGGCATTATCAATTCCCAGTTTAACTCTTCAGGTCTTTCAGTGATATATCTATAGCCACTGTAATATTTGCTTTCCAGTGCCTTCTTTCTTCTGGAATTTAGTAGACTTAACCAAAAGAGAAGGAAGTGGCTAAAGATAATAATTTACATCTTTAATGCTTATAAAAAGATATTGGACATATTTTCAAAATTATGATAGCAGCTAGACATACCCATCTGAGGTTCCACATAATCCAGTACATATATTTTTTAATAGTTGGTAGACAATGAACATAATAATACCATGGAGAATAAATTATTCCCTTGCTACAGAAGACTTCTATTATAAATTCTTGCTAAATGTATGATAGGGCTGGTTGCCATATAAGTATCTGGTCTACTGGTTTACATGTTGTACTGGAATCTGATTCATTTCCAACCACAAACATTTTTTTCTTCTTTTATAATATGAAAGAGCAAAATAGCTCCTAAATATAATGAGAAAATAGGGAAGTTGATCTTTTAAAAAAACAGCATTAAAGTTGATATAGGTTACTTAAGCATAGTGATATTTTAAGTACCTAAAAAGATCCTTCTTTCAACAATTTATGATACATATGTGCCTAAAACAACCTTTGTAATTTAATATCTTCTTTTAAACCAGAATAAACAACAACAACAACAACAATGAAATATATTGTACCAATAGTAATAGAAGCCATCAAAGCAACACCCAAAGGGATGCCTAGATGCATGGAAATTTTGAACTTATTAGATCTGAATGTTCTGACTTTGCAAAACACCTTACTTGACACTGGCTATATATTCAGACATTACCTTAACAGCTCTTAGGTTCTTGGTTAGGACTTGAACTATTAACTTTTTACCAGTCCCAGACTGTGAATCAAATTGAAGATTAAATCTTAAATAATAATAGTAGTAGTTGTTGTAGTAAACTGGCAGTTGTGACTTCATACTATTGTATACATAGTAATAATGATAACACAACAGTAAATAAATTAACCAAGTTTGTCAAATTTCCATGACAAAATAAATAGATAGGAAAATAAAAGGTTTTAAGTGTTTCTACACAAGTTACCCAGAATAAGAAAAAGTAGGCTTATAAAAGTGAAAATATTAGACTAAGTGAGAAGATTCAATATACTGAAAGAGCTAAAGATTCGACACTGTTAAATGATTAAATGAAGAAAGTCCTTTAGTGCTCAATGGTAAAATTCTAGGATATTAAAATGCTGATTTCATAACTGTTAAAATATTCTTATGTTTGGAAAAAGAACTCTGTCCAGCCACCAAACTCATTCAAAGTTTCCCCTTGATTTGGAAAATGGAGTAGCTCTATCTTAACATCACAAATCAGAGCATTGAAGCAGGCTGGTCTGATTTTACCTGCTGATTCTCTTTGATAAAATGGTTTATCTGTATTTGCATAATGTATAGAATATTGAAGCTTCACAGGGAGGAATCAAGCCTGATGTCATTTTTTTCATAGTCCAATTATATAAAGGACCATCAGTGTGGAAATTAAGATGAGTGTGATGGTATAATCTGGTAGCCATATGAGAAAAACTTTGTCTTTTTAAATAGTCAAAATCATTTGTGTCAGACCTGCAGTTATTTCCAGTCTGTTGAATGTTTTGATTTTTAGAAACAGTATTAAAATCCCTAATTTTATTTTGCTTTGTTAGACAGCAGAGTTCCTATTTTTATAAGTATTTAATGGAATTGTCTTGGCATTATACAGAAAGGCATTTTTTTTTAAAAAAATAAGTAAATTGAAACAGAATAGAATAGAATAGAATAGAATAGAGTAGGGTAGGGTAGGGTAGGGTAGGGTAGGGTAGGGTAGAGTAGAGAGAGTAGAGTAGAACAGAACAGAACAGAACAGAACAGAACAGAACAGAACAGAATAGAATAGAATAGAATAGAATAGAATAGAATAGAATAGCTTTATTGGCCAAGTGTGATTGAGACACACAAGAAATTTGTCTCCGGTACATAAGCTTTCAGTGTATATACAGGCAACAAAGTAATGTAATCATGTATAGTAACCAATAGGAGAAGATAGTAGAAAAGATATTTTAAAATATACAATGTTTTATATTGTGTTTTTAAATGCACAATATTTTGAAAGAAGGAATCATAGAATTAAAATTTGAATAAAACATCAGGTTTTAAAAGAGTTAACTTGCATTTAAGGAAAAATTATACAACAGACATTGTAATGAAATTTTTAAAAATAACATAAGGTGACTTTACCAGCCAAATGAGAACTTGACAATTTATATTTAAGAAGTGAGGTAGCTTCAAAGAATAAATATTGGAAAAAGATAGCTATGTGTTTAAGTAAACAACATAAGATCAATTAAGTTAAAGTGTAATTTCATTAAATGTCCCATGCCAAGATGAGCATTTATAGAAATTCAGATTGATTCTGAATTTAATTCTTTTTCAGATACTTTTCATATATTAATTTAAAGACTTGAGTCCACATATTTTTGATAATACCTCTAGGAAATTGTAAGCATGGCATGTTTGTTAAGTGTGTTTTTATTTTAGATATGTATCATGGAGAATTGTAGCACAGCTACTGAGTTCATCCTAGTGGGTTTCAGAGACCAGCCGAAGTTGGAAATAACATTTTTTACTATTTTTCTGGTATTATACATTGTACATCAGTGTGACTGTGATTGGAAATGGTGGTATGATCACAATAATAAATACTGATCCTCAGCTTCATACACCTATGTACTACTTCATCAGGAACCTATCCTCCCTGGACCTCTGTTACTCTTCTGCCATTGCTCCAAAAGCTCTAGCTAATTTCCTTGAAAAGAAAAATATCATTTCTTATGAGGGCTGTGTGGCCCAGTTGATGCTCTTCACCATCATTGTTACCACGGAAGGTTTTCTTTTAGCTGTCATGGCCTATGACTGCTTCATTGCCATTTGTTATCCTCTCCTTTATCCATTAAAGATGTCAAAGACTTCTTGCCATCATTTGGTGCTATCTTCCTACATATGTGGTTGTGCCAATGGTGTGATACAGACTACTGTTTTTTTCCATCTCAGATTTTGCAATCACAGCAAGATCAACCATTTCTTCTGTAATGTTCCTGCTGTCATGAATGCTGCTATGACAAATACATACATCAATGAAGCTGTGATGTTCTCTCTCTGCAATGTTATCATTACCCTTACTACAGGGGTAATATTCACCTCCTATGCTTACATCCTCTCCACCATCCTCAAGATGCATTCAGCAGATGGCAGACAGAAAGCTTTTTCTACCTGTGCATCTCACATAACAGCTGTAGTTATCTTTTATGGGACTGTTTTCTTCATTTATGCTCAGCCAACATCCATATCCTCCCCTTTTCAGAGTAAAATTGTGTCAGTGTTCTACACTTTAGTTATCCCAATGTTGAATCCCCTCATCTATAGCTTTAGAAACAAAGATGTCAAAAAAGCTCTGAGAAGGACTTTGGGCAGACATTTTGTTTTCATGAATTGATATAAACTGAACAAGCTCTCTAGCTTTGAAACTGCTCTTCACTTTCTATGTGGCTTTTGGAAAGGGAAGTTAAGAAAATTGTCTTTTTTGAT